ATACCAAACCCCTGATGGACGCAGAAAGCAAATCCAAGATCCCCGCTGGGAGCTGGCTCGCGGTGCTCGCGGGAGGGTGGGCTTTAAAAGCAAACTCAACCTTTATCTGTGGCACTGCTGTTACAGCCACTTCTTTCTCTTCCTTTTTCTTTTGGTTCTGCAAAAATCTTGTGCAACTCTGAGACAGACGCGCGGCCGTACCGCTTGTTCTGCTAACTGCGTTTTTGGGGCTTAAGGGAGCTGTCAGCAGCCCCTTTTGTACGGGCAGAGCTGCAGGCTACGGGGCGGGCTGCCCCGCTCCAGCACGTTCCCCAGCCGCGGCGCGCGACGGGCACGTTCCCCAGCCGCGGCGCTGGGAGAAGGAGGATCATCCTGTCTCCGTCTGGCAAGACAAAGGGGATACAACCAGGTCTGAGCCCCCGGGGTCTTTCGTTTCCCACGCCAGCGCACCTTTGGCGATTGGGAGACACGCCGTGCCGGGCACCGCAGGGCAGGCAAGACCAAGCATCCCCCGGGATGGTGTCCCCCGGGATGGTGTCCCCCAGGACAGCAGGCACAGCCATACCAGCGCACGCGGAGGCACGCCATGCCCTGCAGGGGTGTTTTCACCCGTAATCCCACATTTATGAACAAAACATAAAACAACCCCACATTAATCCAAAAGCCCGGTTACCCCGGTACTCTGAGCTTGGCACAGCACCCAGCTGGCTCCGGCCACCCTCCTCCTCCAAGCCAGGGTGAGGATGTTCCCACATCCAGCTCCGACCCTTTCTGCCCCCCACGTACCTGTTTTAGCTCACAGGTGGTGGGACCTGCTGCCAGGAGGGGGATGTCACCGGAGGGAACCTTGTGCCCCACATCCGACTGCCCGAAGAGAACCGGGGACACGTCCAAGCCGTCGAAGCGCCTGTTGGGGGGAAGCGCCGCCCCAGCCAGAGCCACCAGCGTGGGGAAGATGTCCAGGGTGCTGGAAAAAGAGGTGGCTTTTGTCAGAGCAAGGAGCAAAGATCCCCAGAGGGTGCCCCCAACCCCACCTGCACCCCACAGCTCTTCGCCATGGGGATGCTCGGTGCACCGAGGGCAGGGCACTGCCGTGGAGGGGTGGGCTGGCTGCTTCCCAGCACCCATCCCAACAGCTGAGCTCTGCAGGAGAGGTTAAAACTGTCCTGAAGCAGTGACTGGGCCCTGGCAAGCCCTGGCCCCACACACCTCCTGCCCCAGCTGCTGGCCAGGCACAGCAGGTTCAGCCAGGATCTGCTGCTCCTGGCACCCCCAAATCCCGCATCCGCAGGGCAGGGGCTCAGCAGGGAGCAGGACAGACCCGTCCTGTCCCCCTCCCACTGGGGAAGGCAGCAGGTCACCCTCTGGAGAAAGTGCTAGCACAGGGACTTTTTACGCCAATGACAGCAGATCCCGTCGCCCCAGGAAAATGTGGTCTGGCTTTTGCATGGCGCAGCACGAGCCGGCGCGGCCAGGACGGAAAATGAGCGCGGTGCTGTGTGTGCACTCCCACCAAAACGCCCGTCAGCATTTCCACCGTAAGCCTCCTGGGTTTTTTCAGGGGCCTCAGCCACAAAAATACGCTCCCGGCTCATCCCCGGTCGCTTCCCAGTGAGGACGGATGCAGGGAAGGAGCGGGTGACCCAGCATCCCCCCTGGTTCCGTGGGGATGTGGAGGGAGAGTCTCTGCTTTCCCATCTGCTGCCCCAGGCGATTCCCCACCCTCTGGAACATCCCCACGGCACAAGGGGCCATGGGTCGAGCACAGTCATTGCTGGGGTGGGACAGGGACTGTCCCCACGTCCCTGCTGCCAGCCTCCCCACCCAGCCTGGACATGGGCTTCCCACTCCACCAGCCACACTGCCCAGTGGGGCCTGGGCTTGGCTCCAGTGGGATGCTCCAGTGGGACAGCCAGCTCCCAGCGCCATGTCTGACCCTCACAGCCCCCTCCTGTGAGGCACAAGTGTCCCATGTCCTCCACCCAAGTGCATCCCTCCCTCTCGCAGACACGGTTGTGGGGTGACTCCTCACCTCTAGAAGTAGCCACCCCACACTGGGGGTGTCCCATGGCCCCTGGGGACAGCAGGACATCAGCATGGCCAGGTGACACAGCACAGCACTGCCCTCCGCAGGGACGAGGCCGTGGCATGGGACCTGGCGAGCTGGCAGAGCCACCAGTGCCAGGCAGCCAACATCCAGCATCCCTCCAGCTCCAAAACCCTCATGCCAGCAGCGCGGGGGGTCAGCTGGGGCAAGGAAATTGCTGGGGGAGGCGAAAGCACCAGGTCCCCAACTTGGGGGCACCCAGTGTCCTGCCACCCTGTCCCTGCACCGCCCTGCTCCTGCCCAGTGGAGCGTCAGCGTCATGAGCAGAGAGGAGAGAGCCCAGGGCTTAAGGGCCCCTGGTTCTCCCACTCCACGAGTTTGAATTCAGCTGCTAAGAGACGGCAAGAACAAATAAGAACAAACACTGCAGCGAGGCAGCCCCGGTACGGCGCTCGTGGAGACGGCTCCCGCGGCCAGGA